TAGGACAGTTAAAAAATGTTTAGGATTGTTGGGATTTGTGTAGAGCAGTTGATAAATGTTTAGGATTGTTGAGATTTGTTTAGAACAGTTGAAAAATGTTTAGGATTGTTGAAATATTCTTAGAACAGTTGATAAATGTATAAAATTGTTGAAATAAGCATAGGACAGTTAAAAAATGTTTAGGATTGTTGAGATTTGTGTAGAGCAGTTGATAAATGTTTAGGATTGTTGAGATTTGTTTAGAACAGTTGAAAAATGTTTAGGATTGTTGAAATATTCTTAGAACAGTTGAGAAATGCTTAGGAATGTTTAGGAATGTTGAGAAATGTTTAGGATTGTTGAGATTTGTGTAAAACAGTTGAGAAATGTTTAGGATTGTTAAAATATTCATAGAACAGTTGAGAAATGTATAAAATTGTTAAAATAAGCAAAGGACAGTTAAAAAACGTTTAGGATTGTTGAGATTTGTGTAGAACAGTTGAGAAATTACACCATATCAGAATAAACCATTTCGAACAAGATTTCTCAAATTTCATCAGTTCACTCTACACCAGTATTATTTTCAATATTCGATCCGTTCGAAGGAGCGTCGGGAAAACTCGGCGTCGGCTTCGATTCCTCGGGCTGCATAAAAATCGTAAAACTCTCCGCGGATTTTAAATATTTAAAAATCGTTTGTTGCACGCGAGCAAAGCCGTCGGTCTCGGCGTTAAAATATAAGGAAACCCGCACTGCAGCGTCGTAAAACTAAAAGCCTGGACTGAACTTTTAACTCCCATAAAACGCCATAACTAATTCAAAAACGGATTACTCCGGGCGATCTATCAAACTTCCTTCTCGCCACTGGTATGGAGTTTTTTTTTTCGAAATATTATCCGCAATTAGACTCCCTTCGTTATTTGAACAATTATACTCCATTCGCTATGAGTAGCTTATTTTCTAATGCAAAAGACTCTAGCGAATGGAGTATAAAATTCTCACTTCCCAACGCTTATTTCAACAATCCTAAACCTTTATCAACTTCTCTATGCATATATCAAGAATCCTAAAAATTTCTCAACTCTTCTACAAATATCTCAACAATCCTAAACCTTTATCAACTTCTCTATGCATATATCAAGGATCCTATACATTTCTCAACTCTTCTACGAATATCTCAACAATCCTAAACCTTTATCAACTTCTCTATGCATATATCAAGAATCCTAAACATTTCTCAACTCTTAAATAAAAGATTCAGAAAATTACCTGATTCCAATTCTGCACGGACATCCTCGATTATGATTCCCCAACGAGATGATTACATTCTCCCCCTCTGTCCCCCTCCCCGTCGTCGCCGCGTCCCCCTTCTATAATAAACAGGGGGGGAGAAAGGGGGGAGTCCCTCCTGCGAGACGGTTCGGCGGATTCGGCTTTATTTTGTAACGAGCTTTAAGGTACTCGCAGAGGCCCCGTAATTGCTAATGGAAGCGAAACGCGCCGAAGGGACTCTCCGATCCATTTTTTAATTTTTTTCGCTCTTCCTTTCTTCCCTTCGCTTTCCTTCAAAGGACCGTTCGGTTTCCATTCGTAATTGGATGGATATGCGAAGAGGTAAATACGCTATCATGGCGGCGGCGGCGGCGGCGACGGCGGCGGCTCGCCCAAAAATAAAATTCCAGGTCCGAATTTAGCCTTGTAAAAATATCAGAAAATTTGCATGGTAAAGTGCAGGATTTTTATATAATTATATCACAGGAGAAATATTTAGGAGTATTCAAAAATCCGTAGGATAGTTAAAAAATGATTATAGGATTGTTGAGATATGCGTAGAAGAGTTGAGACGGGTTTAGGACTGTTGAGATATTCGTAGAAGAGTTGAGAAATGTTTAGGATTCTTGATATATGCATAGAGAAGTTGATAAAGGTATAGGATTGTTGAAATAAGCGTTGGGAAGTTGTCAAAAGTTTGGGATTGTTAAAATATGCGTAGAAGAGTTGAGAAATGTTTAGGATTCTTGATATATGCATAGAGAAGTTGATAAAGGTTTAGGATTGTTGAAATAAGCGTTGGGAAGTTATGAAAACTATAGGATTGTTGAAATATGCGTAGAAGAGTTGAGAAATGTTTAGGATTCTTGATATATGCATAGAGAAGTTGATAAAGGTTTAGGATTGTTGAAATAAGCGTTGGGAAGTTGTGAAAAGTTTAGGATTGTTGAAATATGCGTAGAAGAGTTGAGAAATGTTTAGGATTCTTGATATATGCATAGAGAAGTTGATAAAGGTTTAGGATTGTTGAAATAAGCATTGGGAAGTTATGAAAAGTTTAGGATTATTGAGATATGCGTAGAACAGTTAAGAAATGTTTAGAGAGGTGAATAAGAGAGTTGAAAATGTATGTAGATTAACTGAAAAATCTAGATACAAGAGTATTGAAATTTGTTTATTATATTGAGATTATGTGTTTATTATTGAGATATGTAGATATAGGCATCTACAGAATAATTGAGAAATGTTTATTAAGATATTCATATAACAATTGAAAAATATTGAAGATTGTTGACATTTACAATTAACAAAATTTCCAATTTCCGCAATGTTTAAATTTCAAAATGTATCCTATAACTTCCATCCGTTTTTGTATCATTTCGTAGAGAATAAAACTTTAATCGCCACGTTTCGCTTCGCATAATTCAATAAACTTTAAAATCCACCTCAATTCACCACCTACCGGTAACGCTAAATTAATCAAAAAAAAAAATAAAAATACATATCCCGAAGAAAGGAAACCCGACGGCACATTCGACATAAAAACCATTAATTACCAACTAATAAAATTCGCGGCGCAATTCCAATTGGAATAATGGCAGCGGGCGCGCGGCGTCGGCGTCGCGACGGGGCCCGCGAACAGGGGTGTGGGGGGCGCCCCGTCGGGCCCGAAGGGGGCCGGCTTTACCCCCCGGGGGACCCGCTCTCGCTCTCTACCGGATAATCGAGTCTCGCGAACCGGCAGATTATTGGGCGGCCGGTCGCTTTATATTCCCCCGATTAGTTCGTCGCGCTACCGGGCTCGACATATGGGCAATTTCGGGAATTCTTCCGGGTCCTTGAAGATGCTTTTTGCACCCCTAAAGTTTGTCGCAAATATTAATTAACACCCTGTATTCGTAACGTCTTAAAGCGAGTGTATAGTGAGAAGTAGTTTGAGAGACGTTCGGCGATTCTAATGTAATAAACTGGCGCAGTCGGTAGGATAAATATTCAAACAGTTAGTTTTTTAGATAGCAGAAGATACAATGAACAATCCTTCGTATTTTAAAAGATCCTCGGTGATTTGTATGTAACAAACCGGCGCAGTCGTTAGGATAAATATTCAAACAGTTAGTTTTTTAGAGAACAGAAGATACAATGAGCAATCCTTCGTATTTTAAAATATCCTCGGTGATTTGTATGTAATAAACTGGCGCAGTCGTTAGGATAAATATTCAAACAGTTAGTTTTTTAGAGAACAGAAGATACAATGAGCAATCCTTCGTATTTTAAAAGATCCTCGGTGATTTGTATGTAATAAACTGGCGCAGTCGTTAAGATAAATATTCAAACAGTTAGTTCTTTAGAAAGCAGAAGATACAATAAGCAATCTTTGATATTTTAAAAGATCCTCGGTGATTTGTATGTAATAAACTGGCTCAGTCGTTAGGATAAATATTCAAACAGTTAGTTTTTTAGAGAACAGAAGATACAATAAGCAATCTTTGATATTTTAAAAGATCCTCGGTGATTTGTATGTAATAAACTGGCGCAGTCGTTAAGATAAATATTCAAACAGTTAGTTCTTTAGAAAGCAGAAGATACAATAAGCAATCTTTGATATTTTAAAAGATCCTCGGTGATTTGTATGTAATAAACTGGCTCAGTCGTTAGGATAAATATTCAAACAGTTAGTTTTTTAGAGAACAGAAGATACAATAAGCAATCTTTGATATTTTAAAAGATCCTCGGTGATTTGTATGTAATAAACTGGCGCAGTCGTTAAGATAAATATTCAAACAGTTAGTTCTTTAGAAAGCAGAAGATACAATAAGCAATCTTTGATATTTTAAAAGATCCTCGGTGATTTGTATGTAATAAACTGGCTCAGTCGTTAGGATAAATATTCAAACAGTTAGTTCTTTAGAGAGCAGAAGATACAATAAGCAATCTTTGATATTTTAAAAGATCCTCGGTGATTTGTATGTAATAAACTGGCTCAGTCGTTAGGATAAATATTCAAACAGTTAGTTTTTTAGAGAACAGAAGATACAATAAGCAATCTTTGATATTTTAAAAGATCCTCGGTGATTTGTATGTAATAAACCGGCGCAATCGTTAGGATAAATATTCAAACAGTTACTTTTTTAGAGAGCAGAAGATACAATGAGCAATCCTTGATATTTTAAAAGATCCTCGGTGATTTGTATGTAATAAACCGGCGCAGTCGTTAGGATAAATATTCAAACAGTTACTTTTTTAGAGAGCAGAAGATACAATAAGCAATCTTTGATATTTTAAAAGATCCTCGGTGATTTGTATGTAATAAACCGGCGCAGTCGTTAGGATAAATATTCAAACATTTACTTTTTTAGAGAGCAGAAGATACAATGAGCAATCCTTGATATTTTAAAAGATCCTCGGTGATTTGTATGTAATAAACTGGCGCAGTCGTTAGGATAAATATTCAAACAGTTAGATTTTTAGAGAGCAGAAGATACAATGAGCAATCCTTCGTATTTTAAAAGATCCTCGGTGATTTGTATGTAATAAACCGGCGCAGTCGTTAGGATAGATTAGTAACGAATCCGTTCCCGATGGTTTTTAATCGGATAATCCGGTTACCGGTCGCGCGTGTGGTGGTTTTGTGTTCCGTTCGCGAGCGAGTCGTATCGAATTTCAGCGCTATATAGAACAAAAGGCTCCGGCTCAGCGACGGTGGAAAGATTAAAAAAAAAAAATGTTTCGGCGAGGTGTTAACCCGCGAGATGGCGTCCCATCTGAATAGGGCGCCTTCCGAGCGAGGTGCGAAAACATTCATCATGGTCGACGGTTCGACCCATTGTTTTTCCTGCCCTTGAATCGCTTTTCTTTTGTGATGCCCCGTTATTCCCCTTGTACCTACCCCATTTTGCGCTCCGATGGCGCTGCTGGGGCATTTGATGTCTCATCCTCGCGAGTGTATCAGCGGAAAAATTATTATTTTTTTTTCGGAGAGAGAATCGCTTATATGCATTAACTCCTATAAGTTCAATTCGCTTGATGCGTTAGGTATATCTATATAATTCGATGTTTAAATTGTTTGTTTTGCAGGGCAATTAGATAATTCCAAAGACTTCTCGTCGAGCGAAGGATTAGGCGGTTATAATAAAAAGAAGAAGAAAAAGCGACGTCATAGGTAAGTATTTTTTCTAATTTTATCAAATACCCATTTCAAAACTCAATTTAATTTTATTCGCTCATTTTATTAGCATCAAATACTGCATTTCGTTTATCCAAAACGGGGCGAGAGTTAAATTTTTTAAACAACGTAGAAAAGATCCCCGAGTTGTTACATATTTAACTACCCTTGGTGGGTTTTGTGGCAGGACGATTTTCACGAGCTACCAACTCGAGGAGCTGGAGAAGGCGTTCAAAGACGCCCATTATCCCGACGTCTACGCCAGAGAGATGCTCAGCCTCAAGACCGATTTACCCGAGGATAGGATACAGGTGAGTTTTCGAGTTTTTCGCCTCTCTATCGAGCGTCCGGCTTATTTTCTTTTATATATACCTATACAAACGGACATTACCAAGGTGGACAAACGGTTAAAGGTTGGATCATTAGCGTTCGCTGTATAATGACGTCACCAGTTTGTTGTGATTTATGTAAAAGTGACGTAAACAGTGGAACTGATTGGAACTACTTACTTGAAATAGTTCAGAAGGGCCTTAGAACCATTAAGAACAGTTACATAAAATCATTTTGAACAGATACAGGATTATTTGGAACTGTTTACGATAAATTATAAATTGTTCCAAACTATTTAGAACTATATAGAATCGTTTAGAATCATTTTATAACTGACTAGGATCAATTGAAACAAATCTTGACGGTCTTAGCAGTATTTAGAACTGTTGTAACATCATTTTAAACAAAAACTGGATTATTTAAGACGTCCTGGAATAAATTAGAACTGTTCAAAACCATTTAGAACCATGCACCTGGAATAGTTTAGAATCATCCTATCGAGCTGACTAGGTCCATTTTGAAACAGTTCATTATTACTATCTTAACAACATTTAGATTAGAACTATCGTTAAATCATCTTGAACAGATACCAGGACTATTTGGATAAACTAGAACAGTTCAGAACCGTTTATAACTATAATCCGAAATCACCGGTTTTCATTTCAATCAAGCGTGCTTTATTTATATAAAAAAAATACCAAGGTGAACTAACGTTGAAAGGTTGGATCATTAGCGTTCGCTGTATAATGACGTCACCAGTTTGTTGTGATTTATGTAAAAGTGACGTAAATTGTATCATTTAAGAACCAGTAGAACTGATTACTTGGAACTACTTACTTGAAATAGTTCAGAAGGGCCTTAGAATCATTTAAAATAGCTGCATAAAATCATTTTTAACAGATACAGGATTATTTGGAACTGTTTACGATAAATTAGAAATTGTTCCAAACTATTTAGAACTATATAGAATCGTTTAGAATCATTTTATAACTGACTAGGATCCATTGAAACAGATCCTGACAGTCTTAGCAGTATTTAGAACTGTTGTAACATAATTTTAAACAAAAACTGGATTATTTGGGACGCCCTGGGATAAATTAGAACTGTTCAAAACTATTTAGAACCACCTGGAATAGTTTAGAATCATTCTAGAGCTGACTAGGTCCATTTTGAAACAGTTCATTATTACTATCTAAACAACATTTTAGATTAGAACTATCGTTAAATCATCTTGAACAGATACCAGGACTATTTGGATAAACTAGAACCGTTCAGAACCGTTTATAACTATCCGAAATCATAAATTTTCGTTTCAATCAAGCGTGCTTTATTTATATCAAAAAAGTACCAAGGTGAACTAACGTTGAAAGGTTGGATCATCATCGTTTGTGCGTAATGACGTCACAATTTATTGTGGTTTAGATAAAAGCGCGATGACGTCAATTTAAATGATGATTTTTCAACGACGAAATTAGCCCGAATTTAATCCTTGACTTGTCGACGTAAAATAAACTTCAACGAACTAATTTCGCGTTGGCAAAACGACCAAAAGCGACCCCTATATACGTTCATTAAAGCGTCGCTTTTCCGCGTTCTCTTCGGGTTACGTCATTAGTTGCGTTAAACAACTGAAACACGCCGTAACAAAACTTCCACGGCCTTCCTCTCTCTATTAGCAGCAAACGTAATTACTTCGTTAGTAAAATTCCCCGCCAACTACCCCGAAAGCTCCGCTGAAAAGCGGCGCTCCCCGAATACAGGGTGAATCGATTTTAATACTTGTATACTTTTATCTAATACATAATACTTATACTCAAAAAAACAAACGATTAAATTCCAAATATTTTTAAACATGCAGTACTTACCTACAACAAATATACAAGTTGGTTGTAGTGTCATATCTAGTAGCATTTTTGTTGGTTCTGTCAATTCTGTCAAATGTCAAACAATCAAATCGCCGACTGAAACAAACGTCAAAATAGTTATACGAGTACAGTGCAATATATTTCGAAACGTTTCTCGATGTTTTTCGGGGAGCGACCTTGTATTTACTCGCGTCACGGCCTGTTTAGACCCATCTTTTAGGGACTCTAATTTAATTAAGAAGAGGTGAGATGCAAACGGTTGACGAGAATTCTTTACGTGCCTGATGGAAAATCGTTAAGACGCTTTTCTCGGGTCAACAAAAGCGACATCTTTGAATTATCATTAATATATACGCTTCGTATTTCAATAAATTCGCCGTGTTAAATTGTTAAATATTCCAAATTTAAATATTCATGTTTCAAAACTGTTTTAAGATGCTTGTTGTTTACCTCAGTGTTATGTATGAACCGCAAACACTAAACACAAACCAATCCAATAATCAAAAATCCATTTATAATAATAATACGACGCCATGACAGTTATGAAGCAGATGTCAAATGTCATAGTGTCAATGGCAGTGCCAGAAAAGGACGCATCAACATTGCCAAATGTCTAATAGCTATTTCTTATTTCCACTTTTCTTTTACTACAAATAAGTAATCGAGCAGCTGTTTTGTACAATAATTAGTTAATTAAAATGTATAAGCATTTAAATAGTATTACTGCATTTCAAAACAATTATTTTAGATAATAAATAAAAATATTTTTATCGTACATCGTACATATTAATAGAGTGAAAAATTACAACAAATGTGTGAATCTGGCAACAAGGGTGAGTTTCCTAATGTATCTGTTGTATACTAATAAATACGTTCAGATTTTTAAAGCGCATGCTCAATTGGCAGACCAAAACAAAGATAAATCTATGCTGAATTCCATAAAGCAAAAAAATAGAATATAATTTAGGCATGTTGTAGATGTTGGCAACAGGAACGTAAATGTAATTCTTATGGCATTGATGCATCCACGTTAGTATATATGATCTAAGATTTAAACAAATAAATATGTGTTAGGGGATTCCCATAAGGAAGCTTTGTACGAGGAGCGTTCGATAAATACCCAACCAATTTATACAAGAATCGTTTGTTAATCATCGAGTAAAATAATACGAAAAAAAAAGGTTAAATTCCCGTATACTCGAGCCCCGAGCTCGGCAGCCATTGGTGGGCGTCACGCCGCCCGGCCAATCGCTGGCGCCCTCCGCAGCGCCCCCTCGGCAACCGCGTTCAAGTAGTAATTAGTAAAAACGGTGGGTCGCGCTCGCGAGTGATTTTTTTTTCCCTTTTTCGGACGCGCTCCAGACGCTTTATTTATATTTTATGCGTGATGCGTGCATATCTTAGATCATATATGCATACTAACGTGGATGCATCAATGCCATAAGAATTACATTTAAGTTTCTGTTGCTAACATCTACAACATGCCTAAATTATATTCTCTTTTTTTGTTCTATGGAATTCAGGATAGATTTATCTTTGTTTTGGTCTACTAATTGAGCATGCGCTTTAAAAATCTGAACGTATTTATTAGTATACAACAGATACATTAGAAAACTCGCCCTTGTTGCCAGATTCACACATTTGTTGTAATTTTTCACTCTATTAATATGTACGATGTACGATAAAAATATTTTTATTTATTATCTAAAATAATTGTTTTGAAATGCAGTAATACTATTTAAATGCGTATACATTTTAATTAACTAATTATTGTACAAAACAGCTGCTTGATTACTTATTTGTAGTAAAAGAAAAGTAGAAATAATAAATAGCTATTAGACATTTGGCAATGTTGATGCGTCCTTTTCTGGCACTGGCATTGACACTATGACGTTTGACATCTGCTTCATAACTGTCATGGCGTCGTATTATTATTATATTTGGATTTTAGATTATTGGATTGCTTTGTGTTTAGTGTTTGCGGTTTATACATAACACTGAGATAAACAACAAGCATCTTAAAATAGTTTTGAAACATGAATATTTAAATTTGGCGCTAACTATATACGTCAAAATTGTCAAAGACTCCAAGACAAAGACACACCGTTAGAAACTAGCGAGTGTAAAACAAGGACGGGTCATAAAAGTACCTCGTGAATATGTTGGCAACAGATTTTACCCCTGTCGACTTATCCACGTTAGTATACAGAGTGTTAGATCTAACGCGCAGCAATCTCGCTACGGGATAGCCAATACAATATTCATTAGCGAAACAAAAACAGAATTAAAAATCGCTTGTTTCGATCGAGTATCGGTCGAGCCTCCCTTCCAGTCGCTACGTCGGGAGTGGCTTCTTCTAATATTCTCTCTTTCTTAGACATACGTGTATGCTCCATTACACCGTCTCTCTCAATTTTTGCTCCGCGCTAAAGCTAACAATCTGTATATGATCTAATGTGCATATATAGAGGTATATAATCTTGGGAGATGTCTCGCCCGGTTCGCCCTCTCCATTACGCCCGGCTCTTTCTTGCACTTTGTTAGTTGCTGAAAGTGCGGTGGCGTTTTTAATGAACGCGGCCGGAGATGTGCGGGTTTTCGCGAGGGGACAGGGCGGGATTTTCGAGGAGAAACGAGAGGAGTTTCCGAGCCGTTCGGTGATTAATTTTTTTAGCTCGAGGGAAGAGGAATAATTGCTCCGGTCTGGATAACTAATTTCTAAATACACAACCACTGCAGTAGATCCGATGCGTGTATATCACTTCTTGGGGATTTCGTTTGCGTTGGTATTCTTGATTTGTTGTTCGATTGTGCCAACTAAATCGATTCTCTTGGGTATAGAGGAAAGGAAGAAAATGTATCTGACCATTGTATAATATCGTACGAAAGGTAGAGAGAAAAGGACAATTGTAGTAGAATCATTCAAAACTGATCAAATTCATGTATAGAAATTTTTTTAGAACTAACCAGGACCATTTGAACAGTTCAAAACGATTTTAGAACCATTGTAGAACTGACATGGACCGTTAAAAACAGTTCCGGACGCTCTAAGCACCATTGAAAACTGTTCAAAAATGTTCAAAACTTTTCAAAAACACTTTCGAAGAGTCTAAGCACCATTTAGAACTGTCATAAAATCATTTAGAATAGATACATGGGTAATTGGAGCAATCTAGAATAAACTAGAACTGTTCAAAATCATTTAGAACATCAAAAATCGTTTTTGAAATATTTTAGAACTAACTAGGACCATTTGAACAGTTCAGGCCGATTTTAGAAACTATTAGAACTGTCGTAAAATCATTTAGAACAGGTTGCTCAACTATCCGGAATTGTTTAGAACCATTTTAGAAACGACAAGGATCATTTGAAACAGTCAGTCGGTCATTTAGAAATGCCATAAGATCATTTAGAACAGATACATGGGTAATTGAAGCAATTTAGAATTAACTAGAACTGTTCAAAACCATTTAGAACTATCCACAGCCGTTTTGAGCCACTATTAGAACTGACTAAGATCATTTGAAACACTTTCGAAGGGTCTAAGCACCATTTAGAACTGTCATAAAATCATTTAGAACAGATACATGGGTAATTGAAGCAATTTAGAATAAACTAGAACTGTTCAAAACCATTTAGAACTATCCACAGCCGTTTTGAACCATTATTAGAACTGACTAAGATCATTTGAAACACTTTCGAAGGGTCTAAGCACCATTTAGAACTGTCATAAAATCATTTAGAACAGAAACATGGGTAATTGGAGCAATCTAGAATAAACTAGAACTGTTCAAAACCATTTAGAACTATCCACAGCCGTTTTGAACCATTATTAGAACTGACTAAGATCATTTGAAACACTTTCGAAGGGTCTAAGCACCATTTAGAACTGTCATAAAATCATTTAGAATAGATACATGGGTAATTGGAGCAATCTAGAATAAACTAGAACTGTTCAAAATCATTTAGAACAACAAAAATCGTTTTTGAAATATTTTAGAACTAACTAGGACTATTTAAACAATTCAGGCCAATTTTAGAAACTATTAGAACTGTCGTAAAATCATTTAGAACAGGTTGCTCAACTATCCGGAATTGTTTAGAACCATTTTAGAAACGACAAGGATCATTTGAAACAGTCAGCCGGTCATTTAGAAATGCCATAAGATCATTTAGAACAGAAACATGGATAATTGGAGCAATCTAGAACAAACTAGAACTGTTCAAAACCATTTAGAACTATCCACAGCCGTTTTGAACCATTATTAGAACTGACTAAGATCATTTGAAACACTTTCAAAAGGTCTAAGCGCCATTTAGAACTATCATTAAATCATTTAGAATAGATACATGGGTAATTGGAGCAATCTAGAATAAACTGAAACTGTTCAAAACCATTTAGATCTATCCACAGCCGTTTTGAACCATTATTAGAACTGACTAAGATCATTTGAAACACTTTCAAAAGGTCTAAGCGCCATTTAGAACTATCATTAAATCATTTAGAACAGAAACATGGGTAATTGAAGCAATTTAGAATAAACTAGAACTGTTCAAAACCATTTAGAACTATCCACAGCCGTTTTGAACCATTATTAGAACTGACTAAGATCATTTGAAACACTTTCGAAGGGTCTAAGCACCATTTAGAACTGTCATAAAATCATTTAGAACAGAAACATGGGTAATTGGAGCAATCTAGAATAAACTAGAACTGTTCAAAACCATTTAGAACTATCCACAGCCGTTTTGAACCATTATTAGAACTGACTAAGATCATTTGAAACACTTTCGAAGGGTCTAAGCACCATTTAGAACTGTCATAAAATCATTTAGAACAGAAACATGGGTAATTGGAGCAATCTAGAAATGGGTAATTGGAGCAATCTAGAATAAACTAGAACTGTTCAAAACCATTTAGAACTATCCACAGCCGTTTTGAACCATTATTAGAACTGACTAAGATCATTTGAAACACTTTCGAAGGGTCTAAGCACCATTTAGAACTGTCATAAAATCATTTAGAACAGATACATGGCTAATTGGAGCAATCTAGAATAAACTGAAACTGTTCAAAATCATTTAGAACTATCCACAGCCGTTTTGAACCATTATTAGAACTGACTAAGATCATTTGAAACACTTCCGAAAGGTCTAAGCGCCATTTAGAACTATCATTAAATCATTTAGAACAGAAACATGGGTAATTGAAGCAATTTAGAATAAACTAGAACTGTTCAAAACCATTTAGAACTATCCACAGCCGTTTTGAACCATTATTAGAACTGACTAAGATCATTTGAAACACTTTCGAAGGGTCTAAGCACCATTTAGAACTGTCATAAAATCATTTAGAACAGAAACATGGGTAATTGGAGCAATCTAGAATAAACTAGAACTGTTCAAAACCATTTAGAACTATCCACAGCCGTTTTGAACCATTATTAGAACTGACTAAGATCATTTGAAACGCTTTCGAAGGGTCTAAGCACCATTTAGAACTGTCATAAAATCATTTAGAACAGAAACATGGATAATTGGAGCAATCTAGAATAAACTGAAACTGTTCAAAATCATTTAGAACTATCCACAGCCGTTTTGAACCATTATTAGAACTGACTAAGATCATTTGAAACACTTTCAAAAGGTCTAAGCACCATTTAGAACTGTCATAAAATCATTTAGAATAGATACATGGGTAATTGGAGCAATCTAGAATAAACTGAAACTGTTCAAAACCATTTAGAATTACCCGGAATATCGTTCGGAACTATTTTAAAATTGACCAGGAGCATTTGAAACAGTTCAATTAGAAATTTCCAAAACTATTTAGAACCTTTTCAAGACTATTTAGATTTTTTTTGTAAACTTTTAGAAGACTATTACACAATTTTTCAACTGGAAAATCTACTAATTTAGCGAAACTATCTAATAAATTCTAACAAAAAATGTCCACCTCGCAGCTGCCGTTTGTACGCCCATTTGTGTATACACAGAAAAATTAATCAACGATAATTACATTTCCTTTTTCGATGCGAAAATCCAATATTTAGTTTATTCGATACAGAAAGAAAGTGTCGCGAACAGGCAATCTGGTTTTTCCCGCGCGCTTTCCCCCCCAGATCCCGGCTTGAAATGCCCCTCTGTCGCCTCTATTCACGAAAATTCCGTCCGGCTCGAAATAAACTCGAACTTCATAGATCCAGTCGATTGATCTGCCAACAGCAATTTCTATATCCCGCCAGTCCCGGCTCATCCGAGTCCCAGTATGTGGTGGCGTTTTTCCCCGGGACTTTTCCGCCGGGCGGAAGGAATTTCCCGGAATTATCTTTCGTCTACATCCTCCCATCAGCGCCACTTCATCTCAAGACACTTTTGTAATTCGTTTAGCAACTTTTGTGCGTTACAATATTAACTACTATTGGTTTTTTTTTCTCATTATTTATACAGGGATTTGCACGGTAACTGAAATAACTGAAATAATAACTGAAATTTTGGTTATAGTGTTTTTTGGATAATATGAATTGATCTAAAATATTTTCATTTTGATTACACTTCCGGTTATACCGGAAGTTGATACCAACTTCGTTATTTTATATGGAAAGTGCCATTTTTTACTTCATTTTTGAATTCTATGGCCTTTTTTAACTAGACTTTGATGATAACACCATATGCCAAAAATGCACCATTTTTAAGATATTACAATTTTTTCGATATTTTTTGGAAAAACAGTCGAATGTATTTTCTGTGATATCTCTGTTAATAATGCAGGTAGAAGCTTGAAATTGAGTATCGATGATGTCCAGACATACTACAAAATGAAACTAAACTGTATTTTTAGAATCCATGTACAGGACGTTTAAAATTGTCCGACAAACTTGGCCAAATTAAAGTAACTTTGTTATTTCAAATGGATCACCCTGTATTTTTTAACAGTGACCAATGCAGTTTTTTAAGGCATTTCGATTCCATATCTCAAAAAGTATGCATTTTTTGAAAAAATGTTTTAGACAAAAGTACTCTTAAATTTAGCGTAGAATTTTTCAAAAATACATAAATGTCGCATTGACATTAGGTCATCAAATGGTCAACTAGATAACTCAAAAAAAGAAAATTCATACCTTATTTAATAAAACATCGATTATTTCAAAAACTTTTGGATTTGGGTATAGGGAATACCCATATGGATCGAAAGGGCTTAAAAAACAGCATTGGCCACTGTTAAAAAATACAGGGTGGTCCATTTGAAATAACAAAGTTATGACCACTTTAATTTGGCCAAGTTTGTCAGACAATTTAAACGCCCTGTACATGGATTCTGAAAATACAGTTTAGTTTCATTTAGTAGTATTTCTGGACATCATCGATACTCAAATTCAAGCTTCTAGTTGCATTATTAACAGAGATATCACAGAAAATACATTCGACTGTTTTTCCAAAAAAATGTTGTTATTATCAAAGTCTAGTTAAAAAAAGTCCATAGAATTCAAAAATAAAACTATTTAATAATTTACCCAATGCAATAAAAAATCTAAAAACTTTTAAAGAACACAGGAAAGCCATAAAAAAACTGATTAAAGATATAGAACCAAACAGTATCCAAGAATTCCTAGATAGATCCAGCTGAATAATTAAATATATTTTGTGACGTCTTTCATTCTTACAATGTGATTAATTAGATTTAAGCAAAATTCACTTGTAAATATTAAAGTTAATAAATTACTATTACTACTATTACTATTACTATTTACTATCTTTCGAATGATTTCTAACATCGTTCTGAACTGTTCAAACGGTCCTAGACAGTTTTCAATGGTCCTGGACTGTTCTAGTGTATCCTAGATCCTTTCATATCAAGTAGGCATCCGTTCTAAACATAATTTGTTGTTATTCTTTAATGTATTTAATACAATCGAAGCAGAACGGAAAAATTCAATCCAACATCAGGGACTTAATCTCCCAACAAACTCGCCTAATCTATTCATTATATAGGCGAACAAACCGGCAACTTGTAAATTAATTTCCAAAGTAATACCCTAATCGCTGGTCGGGTCCCCGAAGGGGTTCTCCAGCGAGCTCGCCCCGAAAACATCCCTTTTAAACGGAATACACGTTGTAACATGCTGTTGCTGCTTATTTTCCCCTGCCTGCGAGTTCATTTCCCTTGTCGAAAAACGAGGGTGTCAGAAAATCGGTTTGCTAAAACGTATCGAAAATTATCACTGCTGGGAAATGTTTATCGCATCTCTTCCCCGGAGGAGCCTCGGGGGAGAAACGTTCGAATTATAAACACGCGCGATGCGATCTACTATATACTATACCCTATTTAGAATTTAACCGCGTCTGGTGAGGTTTTCTTCGCGGAAAATTCGACCGGAAAATTCGCTATATTTTTCCGATAGTCGCCTACAATAGTTGCACTTCAACAACAATACCGGATTGATCTTTTCCGGGCGATCTCTTCACTTTTCCTTCGCTCGTTTTTCTCTTATTTTCTACGAGACTCGAGCTATCTACGCTCGAAATATTTACTTCTCGAATTTGAGCTGGAAATTTAATATATAAGTCTGGATTTGAAGATAGCAAATCGCCGTAATCGATATACAGGGTGAGGAATCGTACATACTTTAACAGTGTATAGAGGCACTTAAGGTGAATATTATACGACCATTTTAAAAGTTCCATCCGGCTCTTCTCTAGAGAGATACAGGGTGATTTATTAATTTTGACGAAATTTTCTTTTGTTTATATCTTTATGGTGGTTATTTCGACTTGGTTCATTTTTTGGTAAAATAAGTATACATTTTGAACCAGCAACACACTGGCATATTCAGAATTAAAAAAAATCAGGACCGTCTTCAACAAAAAGAGGTAAATATTTCCAAACATAATATTTCGCCCTGTATACACTTTTTCTAAATTTTTATTTGGTTAATGTAGAAGGTATAAGTAACTCATAAAGCCTGAGCATCGGAAATTTTTGCCACACTTTGTTTAAATTGTCAATTATTAATTAACTTTTAGGAAAAGTTACACGTTTAGGATAATCGAATAATTTACATTAAAATAATATTTTCTATCGTATAAATTTTAATGAAAATTAATTAAAACGATTAATTACATATTCCTTTCTATGAAAAAGTCCTAAAATTACAAAAAAAAATCTTAAAATTAACTCAATAAAAAATATTCAACGCGTATGATAATAACTGTTTAAAAACTATCGAAAAACACAAAATGTATTAGAAAATCTATTCTACATTATAAAACATGTTCAAAATGAAATCCATTTGCCATTGCAAAATCCGTAAACTAAAATAATATCAGCATATTCAGAAATTGAATATTTGAATGGAATTTTTTAATAAACAAAGTGCTTCAATTAGTAACAAACAACGATTCAATTCTTAATTATTGACGAAAGAATGAAACCAAATGTCAAAATGCAAAAACAAAGAGAGGGTTGATTTGTCATAGACTATTTCGATCTTTGTATCTAATTTAACATACAGAATACAGAAAAAATAATTCATTAGAGAATATTATTGAATTATTTTTTTTGTAATTTTAGGACTTTTTCATAGAAAGGAATATGTATTTAATCGTTTTTATCAATTTTCATTAAAATTTATAAGAAAATATTATTTTAATGTAAATTATTCGGTTATCCTAAATGTGTAATTTTTCTTAAAAGTTAATTGATAATTGACAATTTAAACAAACTGTGGCAAAAATTTCCGATGCTCAGGCTTTATGAGTTACTTATACCTTCTACATTAACCAAATAAAAATTTAGAAAAAGTGTATACAGGATGAAATATTAAGTTTGGAAATATTTACCTCTTTTTTTTGAAGACGGTCCTGAAATTTTTTAATTCTGAAAATGCCAGTGTGTTGCTAGTTCAAAATGCATACTTTTACCAAAAAATGAACCAAATCGAAATAACCACCAAAAAGATATAAACAAAAGAAATTTCGTCAAAATTCATAAATCACCCTGTATCTCCTTATAGAAGAAGCGGATGGAACTTTTAATAGTCGTATGATATTCACCTTAAGTACCTCTATACACTATTCAAGTATGTAGGATTCCTCACGACTCACCCTGTATACACCTTGTATATAGCAATGAAGGATCGCTCAAACGGAATTGACAGCTGACGTTTGACAGTAGCTCATAGAAGCTCACTCTGAGATATGCGTCCCGAGGACAGGAATTGTCCCGATTCCAATTAGGATGGGGTTGAATCGGAGGAGAAAAGGACCGGAGTTAATGCTCGTAGAGCTGCTGCTAAGCCTATCGAACGCCGGAGTTTCTAATCTCCCCGGACGATTCCGCAAATTGGACTCGGACCTAATCGCTTATCGCCCACCGAAATTAAATAAACCGGAGAAACACAATAACAAGTCGAGCAATCAAAATTGGTCTTCATTCGATAATATTCTATTCGTCGAATTTAACGAAATATTTTTCTTAGTGTAATCAACATTCGAAGCTGTCAGCTACACTGAGAAAACAGTTTTGTCCACAAATATAGAAATTAGGTGTAAATAGTTTAGTTTCGGAGGCGTTATTTAATGATTTCGTGCATTTATGACTCACCAACGATGCTTCTTTGGTCTAAAATTAACTCTGGAAATATTCGACTCGTGCGGGTAATTCGATTGGAGGGGAATTCGATTAATTAACGATCGAAATTTCTCTATTAAATCCGACCGGACCGGAGTACCGATCCTAATAATTCTTTTCTCGCCGATTTGTTCTAATGATTAATTAAATTCGCGAGTTAATCCGATTAGGAGAGGACGAGAGAGGAGAGGAGAGGAGAAGAGAGAATCCCGAAAAGAATCCTTGCTCAATTTCGTTTGCGAACGGAAACACAAATGCATTCCTCTTCGAACGGTTAGAACTAATAAAGTCGAATAACTCCGTTCCGCCGGCTCGCATTGATCACCATTTCGAATCTATGATGAATTTCCAGTGGCGTGCGCCCTTCTCGACCCCCCCTCGAAATCAATTAACCTCACCCCTTTTGTATGTGCGGTTTCCAACAAGCGTATAAAATCGGTGTATTATTTTCGATACATCTTCTTTTGTACATTATTGATTGGCCCTCGGCTAGTTTGGCTATTAGGTCAGTATATAAACTGACTTATCTTGTTCGGTTATTCGGTCACTATACACTGTGTTATTTATTAGAAACCAAAGTTAGA